TTATATAATTTGCACAACGTATTTACATTTCCAAATCTTAAGCATTAACATACTCAGTCGAACCTGCCTGCTGCTAAGGAACAATGCACCTTGCTCTCCACTGTCTCCTGCATGGAATCTGCAACTAAATGGAGTACCACACTGCCTGGTGCTCTTTGGCTGTTGGTGGCATCACAGATGGGGCTCTACAGCCAGGTCATGCCCAGGGAGAAGTGCTACATTCTGGCTCCCACACCATTAACTTTTGATGCCTGAGGTTTCACCGCACCAGCAGGAAATTCAGACAACTGGGAGCACTTAAGAAGCTACTATTACTATCTGCTATTTGCATTGTGGTATTTGCTCATGGGCTGTAATGCCAGGTGAGTCCTCTTGTGCTATGTGCAAATAAGAAAACACCCTGCTGTGGTACAGGTGTGCTGAAGAAGTTTAGCTGAGTCTGGGTTTCCCATCAGTATTGCCCAAAGCAATGCAGGTACTCCCAGGCTCAGGCAAGACAGCCACTGCAGTCTCTCATGTTCATCCACTCCATGTGCAGAAGAGACAGTGCAGTATTCTTAGCATCTATGCAGCCCATAGTACATCCTCTCCATGTAGGGTTGTTTCCTCCCAGAAATGCTCTCAGCACACTTTTCTCACGTCTTTTGGGCATCAATCCTTTTAACTCAGCAGAAAGTGCCAAAACCTGCAGGAGGAGTTTTGAAATGACGTGCAACCCGTTCTGTGTGTTCTCTTTGGCGTTTTAACACATGCTCCTTTTTTTTTTTCTCAGGAGTTGCATTTCTCATTCCCAACAAGACAGGAGAACCTGACAGATATGTGATCTGATCACTTCTTGAGGCAGTGAACTCTTCAGGCTAGTCAGGGCATGCTGCTTGCTCCTATGTTTTGGGTGGTGGCAAAACTGGGTGGAAGAAGATCAGGCAGAATACTTAATGATACACTGGTTCTCCCGTTAGCAAATAACTCAGTGCTGACATTAAAAGGGGGGGAAAAAAAGGAAATTTAAAATTATGAAATCAAATAGCTTCAAGCAATACGCCTTTCCCTGTAAAGAAGCTGCATCGCTTTGCTAAAAAAAATCATTTATTATTCAAGTTTTAAAACCAAAGAGAATTCTGTGCCATGAACACAAACCCAGAAGAGAACAGCACTTGTTCAAGCAACAGCAAATATTGATTTAACTGTGATTGAGTATGGACACTCAGGGATCTAATATGGACTGACAACAGAGCCAAAGAGTCTTTGCCTGGTGAGGATTAGAGTCTCCCTTTGCTGTCTTTGAGATTATATGGATGTAATTCTTCCTGTAATTCTGTCTTTCTGTTTAGCAACTACTGCAGAGCTCTCCTTAGAGCATACTTCCACACACAGACTCATTCACACTCACACACCTACTTTTCTGTAATTCCACAGGATGGTGGCTTCCTCCAGTTCCATGATTCTAGAATTGCCTCCAGTTACTGCTCTACATGGTGTGACTATTTCAGACTAATCTAATTTTTTTTATCAGTAGAAACCAAGTTACATTTTCACATAATTCACAAACGAAGGCTTCATGAGTAAGAAGGATGGCACACTGGAAGTAACTGACTCAATTGCCTAAATAGACGCCGTGAGCAGATAGCTGCTTATGAGATGTGCTGCTTGCCAAAACACTACCTTGCCAACAAGCACATGCCACTGGAGACAGACAAAGATCTAATGCATGCCTGCAAATGTGCCTTGGACCCAGAGAGCCAGGACTGCTTTTCGTGCCTCTGACACTTAATTGTGTTTGTTCTGTAAGGTAAGATCAACCAACAAATTTCTATCTTGCAAAGACATGATGTGCAGCAGAGTGATGACACTGCTTGCTCAGTAAATCACTTCTGCTTCATTCTGTCCTCGCCCTGCTCTCTGCTGTAGCTTTTGTGAGGTATTGAAATGAACTGCTTACCAAAGCAGTCTGTCTAATGGGAATCATCTGCAGGGATTACAGAAATAAGGTAGCAGTGAATTACTATACAATTACAGTCTTTTGCAACTAGGGAGACCGATCAGAAACAAACTGCACCAGCTAATGCAGCTTTCTCATCTATTCAGACTCAAAATGTCCTACATTCTCTTCCCTTCAGGCAGTGACTTCTCTGGTAGATTAACAAATGCCCAATTGATATTTTACTGTCCATAGGATGACCAAAATATATCCATGAGTATAATAAAAACTATTATTTTTCCCTCTCAAACTTGTTTTCAAACAGGGGTTGGTGGGTTGACACTGGCTTGACCAAAGCTGCTCTATTAGTCCCCTCCAAAACTGGACAGGGGAGAGCAAATATGTCAAAAGCAAATATGTCAAAAAGGGTTGGGACAAGGGCAGGTAGAGATCACTCACCAGTTACCATCATGGGAAAAACAGACTTGACTTGGGGAAATTAATTTATTACCAATCAAATTAGGGTACCATAATGAGAAATAAAAACTACATCTTAAAAACACTCCCCACCTTCTCTTCTTCCTGGGCTTAACTTCACTCTTGAATTCTCTACCTCAGTTCATCACATGTTGTTACTTCCTTCTTAGGGTGAGGACTCCTTACACACTTCTCTAGCTCCAGCATGGGGTCCCTCCTACAGGTAACATTCCTCCACAAACTTCTCCAATGTGAGTCCTTCCCAGGAGCTGCAACTCTTCATGAACTGCTTCAGCATGGCTCCCTTCCATGGGGTGCAGTCATTAGGAATAATACTGCTCCAGTGTGGATTCCCTGTGGGGTCACAAGTCCTGCCCACAAACCTGCCCCAGTACAGGCTCCTCTCTCCACAGGGTTACAACCTCCTTTGGGCTTCCACCTGCTCTGGTGGGGTGTTCCAGGGGCTGCTGGTGGGTATCTGATCCACTGTGGACCTCCATGGGCTGCAGTGGGACAGCTGCCTCATCATGGTCTGCACCATGGGCTGTAGGGGAATCTCTGCTCAGGCACCTGGAGCATCTCCTCCCCCTCCTTCTTCACTGACCTTGGTGGCTGCAGAGTGTTTTTTCTCACGTAATTTCACTCCTCTCTCCAGCTGCAATTGCTCTTGAGCAGTAACTTTTCCCACTTCTTAGAGAGGTTATCCCAGAGGTGTTATCACCACTGCTGACAGGCTTGGCCTTGGCTCCAGCTTAGAACTGGATGGCATTCATCACACATGGAGGAAGCTTCTAGCCGGTTCTCACCGAAGTCATCCCTGTACCTTCCAAGCTACCAAAACCTGGCCACATAAACCAAATTTTGAGGCCCCAGAGGGCCTCAAAACACATCCCATGCATGGGTTAGGCACAGCATTGAGAAGGAGGAGAGCTGGGGAGCTGGATGATGGGAAGACAATGCAGGCGTTAGTGGCTGAAGCCTATTACTGCTTTCTGCTGTCTCCATCCTACTTGCCAGGAGGGAATGAAGTACTTGTTCCTCAAAAGCCCAAGAGTGCAGTAGATAGCTCAAGACTTCAGTCCAGCTCTAGGTGTCATTGCAGCAAGCTCAGCTCCTGCTTGCATGGAGGTCACTACCCATTTTTGCTAGGGTTGCTTTCTTTGCAGACCCATCCCTGCACTTGGCTTCTGACACCTCTGGACATCCCAATTCAGAATCAACACGACAGAACTGAGCAGAGAATGTGACTTCAACATAAAATGTTCAGCACAGAATACAGAAATGTGTCCTAACGGATAATCACATAGTGGAAAGCTCTGGGTTGCACCCTTTAAAAAAACTTAAACTGAACAAACACACCATGCAACCTGTACCTGCATAACTAGGAAAAAATGGCATTGATTGAAGTCTTGACTATGGATATGGTGAATGAAAAATAAGTCAGCTACAAGCTACAGATGAGAAATGGAGTATGTTTTCAAAAGCATGCCATCCTGCGTACCCAGCACCAGCAGAGAGCAGAAGGGAGCCCACAGACAGCAAGGCAGCTGTGCTGTGCTAAATTAAGGGCTGGTTGGGACTTCAAGCAGAATCCTCCTCACCCAGGCCCACAGGCTGTTCAACATGGCCCAAACCACTGATGCCCAGCTGGTTGAACCAGTCTCTGAGGTGTCAGCCCTGTGCTGGACTAGTCCAGCAGTGAGCTGGCCAGGAAACCAGCCAGAGCTCACATGGGTCTGGCTCCAGCTCCCAGCCTGGGGCCCACCCAGGAAGGAGAAGAAATCTTAATTCTGCCCCAACCTGCTTACATGGCATACACCAGCAGGTGACTCTGTGCCCTGGGAGCACAAGGAGGTGGTGAAAAGCACATGGTCCTCCTCTGGGAAAGCCACATGGAACAGACAGTGGTGCTGGGAGAGCAGCTGGGATGACCACACATGCAGAGTCTGAGCCCTCGGACTGCAGCCTGCTTGTACCACAACAGCAAGAAAAAAAGGAAGCAGGTTCTCTAGTTTGTTGACTTTCTTTTCATTCTAGTATACAAAATATTTACAGAGGAAGCACTCTGAATTCAGAAGAAACATCTAAAGGGCAGCAGGTGAAGAATGTGGAGCTTCCTACACCTTTCTTCATGACAGATCAAACCATGCTCTTACTCTGTTCAGCAGCACTATTTTTGTGGTCATAGCAAGTTTCCCATCTCTTAACATAATAAAATGGTCTTTCTGTGCCCTTCTGATTTAAAACCCACAGTGCTTAGGAAAGAGGAACAAGTTGTGCTGTTAATGTTGAGGTGCAGGAGTGCAGGAAACACAGTGACCCCTTGGTCTGACAGGCCTGAGCGCAGGGTACTTTGAGAGCACATCTACAGACAGCAGTTACTGTAAAAATGGGCAGCAGAGTATTTCTGTGCTTAGTCAAGCAACAGAAAACATGCAAAATATGAACCGATATTGGGAAAATGCAGGGAGGAAGGCATTTTATAAACATTTAAAAGACAGCATTTTTTAACAGAGAGTTACCTTGAAATCCTAGAGACACTTGTTCAAATTACAGCTGATGAACAGCCCAACTGTTATTTTTGTAAGAAACAGCAAAGAAAATTAATGTAATTAGGCTGCTGTTTCATCACCCTTCAACATTTCTGAAGTGCTTTCAAGCAACACCAATGCTAGTGACAGAGAGAAGGAGACCTGGTCCTGCAGAAAAATTGTCATTATAAGACCCTTGTAAAACACTTCTCTGTTTTACCTCTCATAACTGATACACATACCTCCCCAGAAGACTGTCTCCTCATCGAAACCACTTATGATGAAAAGGACATCTCCACTGTCTCCACAGAGTAGACCTTCCTGTTTTCATGCCAAAATTTTGGCCTTCTCTGGCTTTCCAGCAGCTAAGTGACCTCCCACCTCCAGCATGGGTTGTCCCTGAGCTACTAAAGCCTCAGTAATACTCAGGCCAGGAACTGCTTTAGGTTAGACATCCCTGTGTGAAAAACTGCTGAGTACAAAGCTGTTCATAAGCTGAGGCCTCTTCAGACTAAGTTTCTTCAGGCTTCTGTCCATGTTGGCATCTCCAAGGCCCTTAGCATTGCATTTGTGAATACTTCACAGTCCTTAATGGCCTTTACTCTTGCCGCAGCCTCATAAGGCAGTTTAAGCATAAGAACCATTTCAAAGACAGAAAAGTGAGGCAGACTGAAATTTGATTGTCCTGTCAAAAATCTCTGTCTGAGTCAGGAAGAGAAATGATGTGCAACATAATGAGTTGTGGTTCAGTGCTCTAGTCATGAGATCTGCTTGATGTAAGCAGAAAGAGGTCTGACCTCACTCTGTATCAGTGAAAACAGTATTATTGAATTAACAGTAAACACACTCCAGTACAAGGAATTTTCTTCAGAGTCCTTTGACCTACTACAGGTTTTCTTCTCACTTTTTAAAGTTGTTCTCTAAACCTTCAAGTCGAAAACTCTCCATCTTAATTACCCAAGGTACACCTGTATCTTTCAAGATGAATAGTTTATAGGCATAAAAGGTGCTGGTATAACTCTTAACATACTGTCATTGTCTGGACATCTGATATTTTGGCAGTATGTTTTCAAGACCTATAAATACAGGGTGATATGCAGACACATACAGTGCAAGTTTACAAAGCTGTGCTGTCCTAGAAACACTAACAGCTGAAAACTTCAGATCTACCCCAAAGACCAGAGGTGCCTTCCACAGAATCAGACCCCCTTGCTTTCCCTCTGTTTTCCCTTGATATATTAGGCAAATACCAGTGTGTATTTGGCCTGACAGCTGGACACAAGCCACAGAGAATGTGAACCTATGGAGTGAGTTTTAAGAGCATCCCTGCTTTTATCTCCCCACCATTGTCATACGTCTTGAATTTGAGTAGGACCAGACCCCAGCAGCTGACTTTACCATATATACTTGGATTTTCTCCCTCATGGAATTTTTGCAGTTGTTCCAACTATTGTAGTTATTTCGCATTAAGGCTCCTTGCTGATCCCCTTCCTTACTCACATCAGTGAACTCCAGAACAAAATCAGGTACAGACTCAGAATCCATGATGGGGGATACTTAAGTCCTTGCAACATGAGCAGGTACAAAAGCCATGCTAGTGAGGTGGAAAATTCAATGCCAATATTCTTAAAACCTCCTGTTCTCCTTTACTAATACCCCCAGTTGTTAGAAGCACAAAAATGCAGTTTTAATTCTATTCAGCAGCAACTGATTGTGTGGAAAATTAATTTCAAAAGGTGTCTATTCACCCAAGTCTATGAAGGAAAAGCCTGAAGACATAACCAGTTAGTCAACCACGGACAAAAACTGAACCCTAAACTCTCACTGTAAAATGAAAAAATCTGATTATTTCAAAGTCAGTCTTGCAATGCTTGTCAGACTTGCAATGCTTGTCAGACTGCAATACTTGCTTTTGTATGTTTGGGATTTACAACTATAATGATGCTTCTGAGCACCTAAGTTGAACTCCTTTCTGTTCTACATTGTATTTCACTGGGGAAAAAAAATCACACTGGCTAGTTTTATCACATTTTCCTTTAAGAAAACTAACTTTGGCCACAGACATGAAAACATGTTACTGAGTCTATTCTTGTGCTGATGAACTATGGTAACTATGTACATGCTTATTATTTATTTAGGAATTTTAGTCTAAAACTGTAAAAGCAGTGAAGGAAGTTACCATATTTTACCCCTTGTTAACTGTATTTAGACAGTCACATGCTCAGTTACTACAATTCAGTTGCTAGCAGATAACTGAAAGCATAGTGACTCTCTTGTTCCTGTGTCCTCCAAGGCCTAGCTTACAGACAAAAATTACTTGGGACCTTTAAATAATTCTCTTACAATGGGCAGGAACAAGAAAAAATTATGGAAAAAGTGCCTTGGTCCCATGATATACTTTTTTCCTATGGTAATTGAACACCTTTAAAAGTTTTCAAAAATTAACAGAACAATCTTTAAAAACACTTGTGTTAATCTCATTCTTTAAGAGGAACACAGAACTCACCCTCTTCTGCCCATGTGTCTGAAAGGCTGCAAGGAACCTATATGCTACATAATGACTAAACTGTTGTAATTACGAGCACAATTTCACTACGAAATGTTTATAACTTCCCAAACTCCCTGAAAGCCTGTAATGACTAACACCTTTTTTCCCACTTGCAATTTTATCTCTCCATCTGATAGGGAACGCATTATTTGAAAACAGTCATTTTCTCTGAGAAGGTGCATGTGATAACTAGCAATGGACACTCTCTGTGGCTCTTCCCTGCTCTGAGCATCCCAGAGTGAGCTCTGCTGGCCTCTGATGCTGGAGCTACCCCACCACTGCTGCCTCCACTGCCCTGCTGCCTGTCCAGATGTGCTGCTCTGGCTGGTTGCATAGTCATGCCGTTTAACTGGACTGGTGAATGATGCAGCTAAAATAGTCTCTCCTCCACTCTTCTTTTTTTTTAATTACATGATTGAATTGCTCTCAGTCATAGTGGGGAAAATGAAGACTGGGGAAGGCAGGGGCCTTTCCAGCAAGCCACGGCACTAGAGAGTTCAAAATGTGGCACCATGGTCTGAACAGCTCTGTTCTGGGAAGCCACTAGAAAGGCATTTAAGACAGTGGTTTGCATCTCTCCTGGATTTAGTTTCAAATATGGTTTCTTTACAGGGCAACAGAAAATCCCAGAACTGACTCAAAAGCTTGGAAATACACTTAGGCTACAGTCAACAATGCAGCAGGAACGGTACCAATGCTGTATTAAGTACCATTATACTTGTTACAAATTCTATCTCTATAATCCACTGCTCTGAATAACAGAATTGGGTTCCTCCAAAACATACTTACACAAATAGGTACCATCTCTGCAAGGGCATGAGAACACTAAGAATTTAACAAGCCCCAACAGTAAAACCTTCCTTCTGATGTCTTGCTGCCCAGCTGCTCCTCAGCCTCTCCCTCTGCCCATCTAATGACTAGAAAGGAGAACAGAAGGATCTTGCAGCTCACCCATAGAATCCTCCCTGAAGGTGATAGAGACTCATTCAGTGTGGAGTCCAAGCCACAGCATTATTTTTTAAAAAAGAAGAAAAGGGGGAGATGAGGAATATCATATGTATTTTTTCAGTCTGCTTACTCTAAATCCTGATGGTTAGCAATACTGGTGAGCTTTATAATGGGGTGCTCTGGCTCTCAGTACCATGTGTGTGAGAAGAAGTTGTGCTGATCTTTGCAGTTTCCATCACTGTTTTTGGAAGAAGACATTTCTCTGCATAAATTCATGCATACTTTGAGGTTTTGGTTAAGCCCTATCAGAATCCCAAAGCAAAATTTGAAAGAGTTCCCCTTCCATTTCTAAAAAAGACCTCTACCACTGAATCAAGCAAACAAGCCTTGCTTTTCAGACCTGTCTACTGTATCTGATCCAGGCACTTTCCTAGCAAGTTTTTCAATGCAAATCATCTGAGTTTTCATTTGGGACCAAAACGTGAAGTCAGGCCAGCTCAGAGTGATTTAGAAATTGTGTAAATATTTAACATGGCTCTAAGAAATAATGTATCATTTGTGCAAGTTTATATGCATATGCATACATGCCTGGGTGGTGTTTAGTATCCCGTGTGATAAATTTGGGGGAGGGTAATGAGGTCTATTAAAGTGACAGCTCACTCTGTGGATTCTGAGTGAGGGCAGATCCTGTGCTCCTTGCATCAGCCTTTTTTTTTTTTTCCTCAGTGATAAATCCCTCAATGTGGGGCCACTCCCTTCAGCCCTTCCCTCTTGTCAGCAGATTTCTTAGTCAGAACTCACCTGGCTTCCAAAACCATTTCTTTGTATTTTTTTATTGACAGAAATGAAAAGACTTTTCATTCCTTCCCCAGGGACCTCATTAAGCATACCCAAACAGTGACATCTCTGCAAGGCTTCCGATCAATGGGCACTGTCATCTGGAGATTTTAATCACATTAACACCACAGCAGAGGAAAATCCATCTGATTCTCCCTAGCTACAGTGGCAACCTCCACAATTCTGCCAATTGCTGCAACTACTACTAGTGAGGCTTATTTACATGTGTGGATAAAAATCAGTTTACCCCAGCTAGTGCCTTCCAGTCCCTCTTCACAGAGTCTGAATTCCCTCTCCAAGAAATGCAGTTTGAACCCCCAGGCCTGCCTTTATGACTGGGAATAGCTATATTCAGACAATCCTGAGAGCCGAGTACAAAGTAATCAATAAAGTGAAGTTCTGTGAGATGGTGGAAGAACCTGCACTGCTTACAAAGCATAGTAGAAAAACAAATGCCAGGGATAGACTCCTAACTCTGTCTGTGCAACAGAGAAGATAATTGGTGAAGGTAAAAAGGTTTATACTTGCATGGAGAGTCTTACACAGAATATTCAGTAGCTATACAAGACCCCTTGGGTTTTGGTAGAGATAAGCAAGGAGCAATGGTCAGGCTGAAGGGCAGCTGCACTCAATCATTACCCTAGGAACATGAGAGAATAGCATAAGCTGCTTACAGGGACACCCTTGTAACCATACACTGCTGAAAAACATGTAACTTTTCTTACAGCAAACGAAAAATAACTTTTCAGCTCCACCCATGCATCCCTGCATCTCCTCTGGCTTCCAGAGTCAGTTACAACCTAATCAATAGCAATTAACTATCATTTGGTCTTGCCCTCCTCTATGTGCTGCTACCTGATGCTTCTCCCTGATTATCTGACATGTGCAGGTTAGGAACTTGCAGGAAGTGTTTCTTGATGGAACCTGTTACTCCTCGAGTAATAACTCACTCTTCCATCACTAAATAATAATTGAACTTTTATTGCAGCCTAGGTTCCCTGGCATCCTGTGAAGGCAGAATACTCAGTGAGATGTTTTTCTCTCAAGAAACATTTTTCTAATTCTTAGATATTTATTTCAGCAAGTTTGGACTGTGGCTAAACTACTAAAAAGGTTAAAAAAAATCAATTTTCAACTTAAGCCTTGTGTTTGGTACAAAATCTCTTAAGAATTAAGGAATCCATCTGAGGATTTCTAAAATAGCCCAGGAGGATTCATAAGCACAGTGTACCTCCTAAGCAATCCTTAATGAATGCTTCAGAGGCATTTGCACTTGTTCCTGTGTCATTACTGAAATTATTCTCAGCATCCAACATTATCTCAAGACAATTTTAGAATAACTATAATATTGCAGTGATTTAAGAGATAATCCGAAAAAAGTGGCATTATATAGTCCTGCAGGATAAATTAAAGATACTTATAGGATCAAATGTATCAAGTTGGCAGAATAACTGTCATGTATAGCACTGAAATGTATGAATTCAGGAGTTTGAAATGATCCTAAGCAAATAAAGCCAAACAGTAATAAAGTAAAAGATTTAGCAGAGAATCAAGCCAACCAATGGAGCCAGCCAACAGTAAAGTTGTAAAACTGGCAGATAACAAAGTAAGCAAAATTTAAGTTACAGAAAAGACTAGTATTTGACAGAATAAAGAAGGCTTAAAGAAGCTTAAAGTTATAATACAGCTGTAATGAGCTGCTCCGATCCACAAATTTAATACCACTTACAGGCCTGAAGCCATTGATCACCCTGCCCTCCCCCAGGCAGTACTCCTCCAAGCACCCAGAGAAGTTCAGATCTCAGGGTTTCAACTACAGCTGGTAAATAAAAAATTGTATTTTTTTTATTCAGCAACCTAGGAAGATGCTGAATGGCACAGGCATAAGGACACATGTTTGTTTAGAATAAGTTAATCTTGTGGCAAAACAGTGACTCTGCTAAACCACAGCTCAACACCTTACACAGTCAAACCTTGCATGTGAGCACTGCTGGGTTTGGCAGTGTTTATTAACAGCTCGTCCACAGATGAAGTGTTGGATTTGACAGGTCATGCAAGTTAACACCTTTCAGTGTTTTATTCCCACTACCTCCAACAAGCACAAGCTGTTGAGGACTTACTCAGAAGAAAATACATGGAGATTTCAGTTCCCCAGGGATTTCTGCATGGGGGGAGGTCCTTTTACCATGCACATGAACTAAGTATCAAGGCT